TTATTATTTTTTTTGTCCCCTCCTTTCTTTTCCTGTGTCTGGTACCTGGAACTCGGGGGGGGAAGGGGGCAGTCTGGGGAGCACCTTTCTTTAGGCAAACCTTTTCATTAGGACACTGGCAGCTTTACAAGGTGGCTTGGGCTTCCCCCGCCCCCAGTTTGTGGAATAGTCAATAGCATTTAAAGGGGGCTGCGAAAAATCGTATTTTCTCTTCTATCCCCCACCTGTGAGGGGAAAAAAGAGGCTTTTTGAGGAGGAGATACACCGTGGGGCGTTTGATGAGTGATTGCACGTGTGCTGGAGGGGCTGGGAAGGAGTTTGGGATGTGGGAGATACTGTTTGGTTTCTGCTTCCGATAGTGAGGCAGTATCAGACCTGTAAAGAAGGGGGGATGGGAAATGAGGTATTTTTAATTTTTTTTTTTTTTTTTTTAATCCCTCAGCAATACTTAGTGGTAATATTTCCAGGCCTTCCTGCGCTCTCTTGTAGAAAGACCTTTGCTGGAAAGGCCCCCGAGAGCCCAAGAAGACTGTGTGTAGCAACTTTTAAAAATAAACTTTAAGATTCCAGGACAGGCTAATCGCGGAGTCCGCTGCCAGCTGTTTCTGTCGGGGTGAGCCAGACCTGAACGTGCGGCGGGGCTGAACCAGCTCTTCTTCCCCCAGGAGGTGGTAGAGTGGGGTCAGCGAAGGGCTTGGGCTGCAAAGCCCCATGGTAGCAACCGTCGTCTTCTTCACCCAGACCGAGGTGGTGCGTGATGGTACCCACCATAATTAAACAGAAATACAGACCACGTTTTTGAGGAAAACGGGTGGGTGCTTGGGGAGCTCTCTGCCACGCTGTGGGGTTGCAGAAGGTCTGCCTAATTCGGTGCAGGTTTCAGTGCTAGAAGGGCGTCCAGTTGCTTGGATTTTGGGTAGCTTATAAAATAAAGGGAAGGCGTGTGCCTTTTCTTATCACTGGGTGGATGATGCCCGCTTAGGCTAGCCTTCCCGAAGTCGTAGTGCTGTAGCCTTCGTGCTTCAGGCTGCTGGATCACCTCTGTGAGCCTTGCGGGGCCAGCGGCGCCGCTTTTCAGGATGGCCGACCTCCCTGCTTGTTCCTTCAGTAAGTGTCATTTGCATTGTGTAACAGGTCTCATGAATACAAGGTTGGTCTTGACCAAGTCGTTCGAATCAAGTAAAATATGAGGCTGTGAATGAGGTGTTTGTATATCAATAAAGCTGGGGAAATACTTATTTTTACTGAAGTGTTTTGCTTGTGGCTTTTGAAGTATTATGTCTTGATGTATTTTGTTGGGGGATGATTGCGGTTTGCCTTTCCTTGACGTAACTACAAAATGAAACGAAAAATTAATTTCTTGAAACGGAAATTTCGTTTTTAGAAAAGCTGAAATGGATGCAGCACCAAGACTTTGACCTTCTCAGCTCCTGACTAGTGGTTGTTTACTACAGCTGCAGCTGTGCGTCTCTGAAAGAGGAGGAGCTGCAAACACAAGCATGCTCACTTTCCCCAGCCAAGAGGAAAACATATAATGAGCATGCTGTTTCAAAGTGAGATGTAAAGAAAAGTACTGAGCAGTCAGGTTGTGGCTTTTCCTTTCCTTTTGTGCAAGGTGTGCTGTGCTGTATCTGTAAGACAAATTTTGAGTCTTGGAAGTGCAAGTGTGAAAGCATGAAATGACTATGCTGCCTATGCAGTGAAAAAGAAATTAATTTTTTTAAATTAAATGCATGCTTACGCCAGAAAAGATTAATGCTTTTGCACTGTAGTACTAAGGACACTTTCAACATCGTTCTTCAGTGGAAAAAGCTCCGTGTAACCTTACCCTGTGTTCAACAACTGAACTTTAGACAGTCTTCTTGCTTCAACTGAATGATTTTTTTTTTTTAAGTCGGTACCAAATGCAAAAAAAAAAAAAGAGCAACAAGAGTTATGTTTGAGGATTCAGTGTCAAAATGTTTGTTGTAGTTTATAGCTAGGCGTAGAGCTATGTTGGCAAACTTGACTGGAGTGTTGACTAGACCCCATATACGTATGTGGCACTGTTGCAAAAGTGGGTAAAATCGAACCGATGTGAGGGTAGTTGTGCAGTCTCTTTTGGTTTGTGTATATATATGTATTTAAAAACCCCAACTGCGCTCGTGGTGCTGTGTTTGCATTTGGAAGCTCTTTTCTGTGCAGAAGGTCTGCTTAGACTTGGTGCCCTAAAATCTGTGAACTTTCTTGTACTTCTACAAAGTTTGGTGTGACTGGTAGGTTTGAAGTTTATTCTGAGTCTGTGCTCTCATGTTTGCGCCCAAGCAATAGCTATAATACAGAAATGGTAGAGTATTCTTTAATTAGTTTTATTTACCTTTTGGCGGCAGAGAATTCTTAAAATAAAGCTGAGAGACAGAAGGAAGAGGAAAAATGAACGTGGCTTTGCCAGAAAGTCAGCGTGTCTACGCTGTGCGTAACACTGAGCTTGTGTGGACTTTCCTTTCTTGAGTTCGGTGTAAAATCTCCCGGTATTAATCAGAAAGCATGACCTAGACTTTGGTCTAAACCAAAATCAAATTATAACGTACAAATATTTTTTGCATTTATGTCTACTGCAGAATGATGTGTTTTGATTTGGAGAAGACAACTTTAAATTATGGTGTGCCTTGGTCCTACAACTATTTCTGTCATTTCCTGCATTTTTGGGAAGGGATGGTGGCATGAGCCATCCCAGTGTTTCTCAACTGAAATACATTGTCAGACTTGAGAGTGAATATATGAAGTCATGTGAAATACGTTCAGGGACTGTATGCTTCGTACTGACTACGTTTCTTCATGCGTTCCACATCTGTGCACATCAGCTCCTGTGTCAGAGGAGCCCCTTCAGCTGCAGGTACAAGGGTAGGACTTGTCTAGGTGTTGACTTGCTGATTATTCCTTTTTTTAAAAATAAAAAAAAATGAAAGTTCAGTAAAATCGCAAGGATGCAAAAGCTAAGGTGTATCAGAACTAAAATTGTGTGTGTTAGGGTCAAGGGAGATCCCATGATTAAAGACTATTAACAGTGTATGCTCAGTGATACTAAATAAAGTTTGCCAAGACGGTTGCACACTGGCATTTCGTACCCTCTGAACGCAATCCTAGCAATGTCTGTATTTTTTTTTTGATCTCCTTGTTTGTTTATTTGTTCATAGATTGTTTTTAATTATTTTTTTAATAAACAAATGCCCTCATGTGCAATGGTATTTATCCTTTTGTGGGTCGCTGGTAGTGCTGGCGTTGGCAGGCTTTGGAGTTGCAGCGCAGACCAGCAGCACTTGAGTTAAGGAATGTCTGGTTAGCAGTAGCAAGCTTTTGTCCTCTCTGTGAACCAGCCTCCAGGATGGGAATGAAGCACGCTCTTTGCTAATGGCTGGCATGGTATTTGCTACATAGCAGAGTAATGATGGAACTCAAAAATCCCGAGCTTTGTTCCCGTCTGTGGGGCAAGTGTGTTCTCGTCATTTAAATGTAGAACAATCAAATGCATGACCTTGGACATCAGCGCCGCAAAGGGGATAATTAATCAGATGATGTATCGTGTCGGGAGACCTGAGTTCTGGTCTCGGTTTTGTCAGATGTCACCTAGGACAAGCACTTCGTTACCCTCTCTGTAAAGTGGTAAGCAGTGACCCTAATTCCCAATTAGTGTGGGACGTTGTCCGGTGGTCAGAGCTGCGAAGAGCATGAGGTTATGCATGCTAACGCTGATCCTCCCGCTGACTACCTAAATAGTTTCTTTTTCTCCGCTTTGGCCAAGAAGGTCTTTGCCGCCGGTGGTGTTGCATCTCTTCTCTGGAGCCTTATAGGTCCCTGACGGCAATGCGGGAAGCACAGCGATGCTGGCTGGCCGGGTTGGTGCAGGTGATGTGCAGAGAGCTCGGGCTGGCTGGAAATAAGTTCAGGTCTGTTAGCGGAGTTGGAGGTGCTACCAGCGAGCTCTGGAAGCCTTCCTGAGCACGGGCGAACTGTAATTCTTGGATATTTTGTTCAAGTCTCGACAGACTGGCACTGACGTGGGTAAAGGCAACTATCTAACCCCAGCGGTTTCTGTCTTTTTCTGTGGGTCCCTGAAGGAGAATCTTTCCAAACACACAGTATTCTGAATTATTTTTTACCTTTTTTTTCCACTACCAAAATTGTCAGAAGTGACTGGTGTGTTCTCAAAAACTTTCAAATCAAACGTGGCAGAAGCAGTCACTGAGAATTTCAGCTGAAATGATTGAAGTTTG